TGATGGGAGGTTGGATGATGGGAGGGTGGATGATGGGAGGTTGGATGATGGGAGGTTGGATGATGGGAGGTTGGATGATGGGAGGTTGGATGATGGGAGGTTGGATGATGGGAGGTTGGATGATGGGAGGTTGGATGATGGGAGGGTGGATGATGGGAGGTTGGATGATGGAGGTTGGATGATGGGAGGTTGGATGATGGGAGGTTGGATGATGGGAGGTTGGATGATGGGAGGTTGGATGATGGGAGGGTGGATGATGGGAGGTCGGATGATGGGAGGTTGGATGATGGGAGGTTGGATGATGGGAGGTTGGATGATGGGAGGTTGGATGATGGGAGGTTGGATGATGGGGGAGGTGGGGGATGCGGGGGGAATGGGTAAACATTGGCATTGACGCGGTCTATGGTGGATGTGATTTGAGTGTTGACGCAGCAGGCATTGCCAAAAGCATACTCTACGTGTGACGGGTGTTGGGTGATGATGAGAGGGGAGTAGCTGATAGGGTGGGAAGACGAGCTTTTCAAAGGGCGAGGTGGTAGTGGGGAGTTAGGGTCTGGGGAGGTTAGGTCTGGGGAGGTTGGTCTGGGGAAATTAGGTCTGGGGAGGTTAGGTCTGGGGAGGTTAGGTCTGGGGAGGTTAGGTCTGGGGAGGTTAGGTCTGGGGAGGTTAGGTCTGGAAAGGTTCCAGAGGAGGATGCGGAGGATGAGTAAAGGGAGATGCTAACGGGATGAATATTTCGTCTCCTAATATCTTGAGTTTATCCTCGTTTGTGCAGTGCTCGTTTGTGGAGCACCGCAACTACAAGGTGATTTACCGGCGCTATGCGTCGCTCTTCTTCCTCGTGGGCGTGGATGGCGAAGAGGTAAGACTCACTTGCTCCATCCCACTCAAAGAGGTAAGACTGGCTCGCTCCATCCCACTCTGGGAGTCACTTCCAACAAGTGACTCCGACTGGCGCCATCCCCAATCGCCACCAGTTCAAGTCCACCTGTTTGATTTCAAATCATCCTACTGCTGTTACTGCAGTCCCATCTTTGCCTCCTCAATTTCATCCTCCTCCGCTGACCCTCCATTTCCACCTCTGACTTGCAATCTCTCAATTCTTCTCCCCCTTCTCGCTCCCTTCCCCCCTGCCCGTCCCCACTCCTTTTTTCCCCCTCCTCCCTTGTCCATCTTCCCCCCTGTCGCCCATCCCGCCATGCAACCGTGCTGCTGGACATCCCTGCATCGCCCGTCAGAACGAGCTGGCAATACTGGAGTTCATCCACTGCATCGTGGAGACCATGGACCGATACTTTGGCAACGTGGTCAGTCACTCATACTGCACCTCCACTGCACGCTCACCACCTTGTGATAAAAGAGTGCTTTGAGTCGGCATCTCAAAGCATCGTTGAGAGACCATGAACCGATACTTGGGCAACGTGGTCAGTCCCACTGCACTGCACAGCCACCCCCTTGCATTGCAACCCCTCCCCCCTTGCTGAAAGGCATCTGTCTCTCCCTTGCTTTCTCTTTAGCTTCTGCTCTTCCCGTGGGCTCATTCGCTCTTTCCTGCCTCACCCGTATATGCAGTGCGAGGTGTATCGTGTTTCACTTCATCCCTTCACCATCTTGTATCGTGATTCACTCTATCCCTTCACCATCTTGTATCGTGATTCACTCTATCCCTTCACCATCTTGTATCGTGATTCACTCTATCCCTTCACCATCTTGTATCGTGATTCACTCTATCCCTTCACCATCTTGTATCGTGATTCACTCTATCCCTTCACCATCTTGTATCGTGATTCACTCTATCCCTTCACCATCTTGTATCGTGATTCACTCTATCCCTTCACATCTTGTATCGTGATTCACTCTATCCCTTCACCATCTTGTATCGTGATTCACTCTATCCCTTCACCATCTTGTATCATGATTCACTCTATCCCTTCACCATCTTGTATCGTGATTCACTCTATCCCTTCACCATCTTGTATCGTGATTCACTCTATCCCTTCACCATCTTGTATCGTGATTCACTTTATCCCTTCACCATCTTGTATCGTGATTCACTTTATCCCTTCACCATCTTGTATCGTGATTCACTTTATCTAGAGAAGGCCTACTTCATGCTGGATGAGATGGTCATGAACGGCTGCCTGTCTCTCTCCCTCTCACACACCTTTGCCCTTTCTTCCAACCCTAAAACCGAACTCCTAACCCCATGACACAGTGCGAGCTGGACATCATGTTTCACCTGGAGAAGGCCTACTTCATGCTGGATGAGATGGTCATGAACGGCTGTGTCATGGACACCAACAAGCTCAACGTGCTCGCCCCCATCAACCTCATGGACAAGTCCTCGTAGTGTAGCCCACCATAGCACCCATGGTAGCAAAAAACCTTACTCACACAGAGAGCATTACGCACACCCATCCACCTCATTATCCATGCACTAGCAGCAGCTAGGGTCCCCGCTATCAGACATTTCTGCCAGTTTTCAGGCACTCTTGTTTTTTCTGGGCCAATTCGACTTTTTTCAGAAATTGAATTAATTTGATTGATCAGAAATGATAAAAGGTTCATCTGATCCATCAGAATTGTTGTATGGTATATGTTTTATTCCTACAGGGGCTAGTACAATCAACAATATCGTGTGTTGTCCTGTCATACATACTGGTATGTTTTCCAAATGTTATGTTCTCACCATACATCTCGTCTCCGCTCATCTGTCAGACACGGCAGCACCTATCTGCACCGCACTGCAACCACTCTGTGCCGCACACAACAAAGCTGCTGGGCTACTGCCTCAACTGTCACGCATACCGCTTTTACTGCCCATGCTCTCATGCATTCCCTAATCAAGTCACCCATTCCTCAAGGCTGTGAAGAAATGAGCTTCAAGTCTGCTGCACACATGGGATGGGATGGGAACTACCGTACCCTGCTATCTGAAGCTTTGCATTGGCCGTTTCCATCTTGACTCGATCCACCATCTGCGCCTCGCCGTCCTCCCCTTACATCACAGACACAGAACCCATCCACACCGCACTGCACTGCACCACATTCACTCTCCGTCGCACACAACGAAGCTGCTGCGCTATCTGGCGATGAGCTTGGAATCCGCCGCTACGATTCTGACTCCACCCACCACCTGCACCTCACCGTCCACCCCATGCATCACAAACACAGCAGCACCCATCCGCACCGCACCACACCACTCCGCACCCGCTCTCCGCGGCACACATCGCAACTGCTCTGCTATCTGGCGATGAGCTTGGAGTCAGCGGCTACGATCTTCACTCTTTCCACCATCTGCACCTCGCCGTCCCGTCCACCCCATGTGTCATGAAAACAGCAGCAACCAACCGCAAAGCACAGCACCCATCCGCACCGCACCACACCCAGCAAACACTGCAGCAGCACCCAGCAGGACCCATCCGCACCGCACCACACCCACTCTCAGCGCTATCTAGCAATGAGCTTGGAGTCAGCAGCCACGATCTTGAGGCGGTCCACCATCTGCACCTCGCCGTCCACCCCATGCATCACAAACACAGCAGCAGCACCCAACAGCACCTATCCTCACCACACCGCACCGGCTCTCCGCACACAACAAAACTGCCCTGCTATCTGGCGATGAGCTTGGAGTCAGCAGCCACGATCTTAACGCGGTCCACCATCTGCACCTCACCGTCCGTCTGAAACACCGCATCCGTCAGAATGAACGTCCACAGGCTCTCACAGAACCGGTACGTGTGCAGGTGGCCCTGCCAGGTGGTGGAGAGGGACAATAGTAAAGGGAGGGGATGCGGAAGAGAAGGCTGTCAGAATGAACGTCCACAAGCTCTCACTACGTGTGCAGGTGGCCCTGTCAGGTGGTGGAAAGGGGTGTGGTGCGGTGACACACAGTACAAGAACAAAAAGTGAACGTTTACAGGCTCTCGCAGAGCCGGTATGTGTGCAAGTGGCCCTGGCAGGTGGAAAACCATGCAGTGCGGTGGTGTACGGCAGGGGAAGCCTGTGAGAACGAACGTTTACAAGCTCTCGCAGAACTGATACTTGTGCAAGTGGCCCTGGCAGGCAGAAAGGGAGGCAGCGCGGGCAGAAGCAGAAGGACAGGGTGCTGCCTTCTTTGGCCCACACCCTCTGCCTTTGCAGGACCAGAACACCCTATAAATCAGGCTCGTGTGAATGGTTGTTCGTGCGGGAGTGAACGGAAGGGAAGCAGGAGGTAAAGGCACGGGAGTTGAGGGGCTGGGAAGCGAGAGGATGGCTCACCTTGAAGTTGGTTTTGGACTTCACTTTGGTCTCGAGAGCCTCCACCAGCGACTGGAGGGGTGCAGTGCGGTGGAGGCATGGACATGCAGGGAGGGAGGGATGGAGGTTGGCAGGGAGGTAAGGGAGGGGGCGACGGATGGAGGAACAGATGAAGCGGCGAATGCCGAACAGGCAAACGGGCAATCAGGCGTACTGAAGAACGAGCGGACGAAGAAACGTTTGAATGGACGGACGGACGACGGCGAGGATGGGATGGAGCCGCGAGAACAGGCAGGCAGGCAGACAGGCAGGCAGGCAGGCAGACGGAGCAACGAACCAACTGAAACGGACGGGAACCATGGTGTAGCTACTATCTCGGACGCCTATTGAGGAGCCTCTACACGCGACATGGCGCCGCTACGACCTCACACGCTGCGAAGCGAGCCAATCATACCTTTCCAGTCCATGCCTGATCCGACTCCCTCTCCCCTCACCTTATCGAACTGCAGTATAACGCGGACGGCGAGGTCGGGCGTGATGGTACCGTTGGACACGAGCTCGTCGAGCGCGTCCGTCAGGCACTTGCCCAGCGTCGACTTGCGGTAGTAGTCCATGCTCGCCATGCTGCCGGCTACCCGGCTAAGATCTTGCCGGCTATCCGGCTACGGTTATCGGCTAACCGGCTACGCTTACCCGCTATCCTGCTGGTTTTGAAACGCCTTGAATCGCCGGCTTATTCGGATGGAATACCCTTAACGATGCTCGCAAGGGTGGGGATCCGTATTGCTTAGCTCTCGCAAGCGTGCGAGAAGCCTGCGACCTTGCCGCTTCCGCAAAAGTCTTGCGGATGTACGCTGCCTTACGCAGAGGCGCCGAAGCTTTGCGACCTAATTCTTTTAGCTACTAGGTTGCGTGGAGCATCTGACCTATTAAATTGAGCCGCAGTGGTAAGAAAATATACCTTTGGGCTCTCTGCTCAGCCCCGCTAGCACCCCTTGCGGAAGGGTGTTGCTGCGAAATGCGAATTTCCAGCTTTGACGAACACGGTGTAACGGTCAGCGAAGCTCGCACCGAGAAAGGAAAGGGCAAGAAACTCGCAAAATAAGCCAAACAAATGTTACTTGCCTGGAGGTCTCTCAATAAGCACTGTGCAACAACACTTCAGATGGTGCTTATTGGAAAAAACACAGGTTTCATATACTGTAATTTGCATCAGCTATTGGTGGTGCTAATTCCACCTACATTATCAGTGGAAATTGCATTATCTTGGCAATCTACCCTTTACTCTTCCGCTTCTTCCCAACACCTGCATCCACACTATTGCCTGTGCTGACTCTCCTCCCAAACCGCCCAGCCCTGCTCTCCTCCTCCCCTCCTCTTCACTCCCATCCCCGTCTCCCACTCCTCCCCCATTCCCCTCCTCATCCCTTCTCCCCCTTCCCCCCCACTTCCCTCTCCCAGCCAATCGAGCACCCAATCGCTCCTCCACTGCAGCAGCAGTCCGCGCAGCTGACTGTGCCACTCCTTCCCTCCACCCTCCCCCTCCCCCTCTCCCTTCCCCTCTCCCTTCCCCCCTGCCTCCCCCTCCTCTTCCCCCCTCCCCCTCCCCCTCCCCCTCCCCCTCCTCCGCCCGCTCCCCCAGTGCCCCCGGCGCCCATGGCTTGGCTGTGCGAGACAAAGCGAGCGCCCAGGCCCAGCCTGAGAGGAGGGGGCAAAGGAGGGGATGCGGGGAGGAGATGGGGGGGGATGGGAGGGAAGAGGGGATGGGGCGAGGGATGAGTTTTGAGTCGACTTAAAAGTCACCTGTACGAGACAAAGCGAGCGCCCAGGCCCAGCCTGAGGGGAGGGGCCCAAGGAGGGGATGCGGGGAGGAGATGGGGGGGGATGGGGGGAGGGGATGGGGGGAGGGGATGGGGGGAGGGGATGGGGCGAGGGGATGGGGGGAGGGGATGGGGCGAGGGGATGGGGGGAGGGGATGGGGCGAGGGGATGGGGAGAGGGGATGGGGCGAGGAATGACAGGAGGGGATGAGGAAAGGGGCCGGGGCATTAGGATGGGGGAGATAATGGAGGAAGGAAATGGGGGTTGGGGATGGAGGAAGAGAAGGGGGGGAAGTTGTTGAGGCATGAACCCTTGTGCCAGTGGAACGCGTGGAGGCACAGAGCACTGTGAGAAAGCGAAATTTGCAAAAGCATTATGTGGGGTGGGTGGGATTGTGGGTATTCAGGCCTAGTGTGAGCTGAAGGAGAATGAATGGGGAGAGGAATGAACCTAAACCCGAATCCCTAAACCCGAGTGTGCATAACCTAAACCCGAATCTCTAAACCGTAACCTGAACGACCAAGGTGCATACCTAAAACCCATAAACCTGAACACATACTAATCCTAAACCCCTAGCCTAAACCCATAAACCTGCCCGTAACCTTGTACCCGTAACCCGAAACCACCAAGGTGCATACCTGGGTGGACGAGCCATTGCCTCCAACGCATCCCCGCCGGTCATCTCCGACTCTCTAAGAGCATCCCCGTTATAAACACCCTCTCTTCCAGCGTCAGTCGCAGCGTCTGCACCCTCGCCCCCTTCCCCCCTGTGAGCTGCCATCTGTGCGAGCATGCGCTGGGCCTGGCATGGCATGGTGCGACAAGGGTGTGATGAGGAGGAGCAAGGAGAACCAGGGGGGAGCAAGGAGAACCAGGGGGGAGCAAGGAGCGGCAAAGGCACATGGAAGTTTGGATGGGTTGGGGGCGGATGTTTTCCTCCTGTGCTTCACTGCAGACGCACACGAGGCGAGGCTGTATCTCCTGCTGCCACGGCTGTGCCTGGGCTCGCACGGGGTGCGGATAAGCACACACGAGACGGGGAGGGTCAGGGTGGGCACGGGAGGGAGGAGGAGGGAAGAAAAACGTGGGAAAGGGAGGGATGTACTGGGAAGAGAAAGGAAGGGAAGGAAAGGAAACGGAAGGGAGCAGGAAGGGAAGGGAAGGAAAGGGAAGGAATGGGAAGTGGGGGGAAGAGAAGGGAAGGGACGTGTGACGGGCAGCAGCAAAGGCTTGAATTCAGAAAAGGTAAGGCGGCGAAGAGATGAGAAAGGCACCACGAGTGCGAGACGGGCCATAAGAAGTTCTTGGAACACCAACCCTCCTCCTCTGATGCCCCATCCGCAATCCCCCAACCCCTGAACCCTCGCCACAACCCCCAACCCTGAGCCTCTGAACCCTAGAACCGATTCAAAGAGGTTCAAACCGCAAAGGTCACGTGCGGCGCGCCTTAAACCGAACTTCGTGCATGCACCCCTCAAGCCATAGACGCCCCTCAGGCCATAGACGCCCCTCAGGCCATAGACGCCCCTCAGGCCATAGACGCCCCTCAGGCCTCTCAGGATAGAACGTCTATGGCCTTCCCCAGACCACTCGACCGTCCGTCGCACCATGGAAAGAGCCTCGTTCGAAAGGACCATTAAAGCCTGCTGCTCGCTTATTGAGGCGCCTCAAAATACGCTTTTCCCAGACCAACCGACTGTCAGACCATCCATCGCACCATGGAAAGAGCCGCGTTCGAAAGGACCACTTTAGCCTGCCGCTCGCTTTTTGAGGCGTATTTTGAGGCGCCTCGAGATACGCTTTTCCCAGACTACTCGACCGACCATCGCACCATGGAAAGAGCCTCGTTCGAAAGGACCACTTTAGCCTGCCGCTCGCTTTCGCCCGTCCCAACTCCGCTTCCGCCTGCCTTGCCTCCGCCACTCTTTCCCCCGCCCGCGCTGCCTGCCACCTGCGACGAGGCGAGCGCGCGGAGGCGCTTCAGCGGGACGAGGCGCTCCGCCATTGCGGGCGGGCGTGGCGCGGGTTTCTCTACCCGGGGGTGACCCTGTGAGCAAGAATGTACTGAAGTGTAACCTGAGTTGCTACTCTTGGATCCTCCAATAAGATGATATGGCTACAATAGGAAGGAACACGCGAGGTGATTGCTCACAGGCGTCACGGTCACGGAACCTGCGACTTGGGGGTCTCTTCTCTCGTCCGTAATCGCTGCGGTGCGGAACATGCGAAATAAGGCGGTCGTTTGTGCTGCGTGATTTGTACTCGGTCTGGGCGTGATGCGAGAAACTGTATGAATCATCCATTTGAACACTTCAACGCATCTAGGTAAAATCTACAAATACGTTTTCTAACCACTATGAATCGCTATTTACAAGTTGCACAGCCCTCATTTGAACACACAGAATTTCCTTGCCTTTTTCAGGTGTAGTATTTGAGACTCTGGTTCAAGAAATGCAAGGACAGCCGAGCGCCACTGAAAAGGCAGGTGGAGTAATACGATGGACGCTTTTTTCAAACTGCCCGACCCGAACCTTTAGGCACTATCCTTGCTTGTGCTGCTTCTTGTGCGAGGAGTGGGCAAGAGGCAGAGGAAGAGAGGGTTGGTGCGGAGCAGAGTGAGCAGGAACGGGCTTGGGGCGGAACAGGAGGCCCTGCAGCACTGCCTGCGCTTCTGACAGCTGCCTGCGGTGTGTGGCCTGAGGAGCAGGTGGGGGAAGGGGGGAGCGAGAAACGGATGGGGAAAGAGAAGGCTGGTGCGGAGCAGCATGAGGAGGAAGGAGCTTGGGGCGGAACAAGCGGCCTTGCAGCACTGTCTGGGCTTCTGAGAGGTGCCTGCAGTGTGTGGCCTGGGAGAAGGTGGGGGAAAGGGGGAAGTGAGAAGCAGAGGAAGAGACAGCTGGTGTGACGTGGAACGAGCTGGGCTGAGGGCGGAACAGGAGGCCCTGCAGCACTGCCTGAGCTTCTGAGAGCTGCCTGCGGTACGTGCACTGGGGAGCAGGTGGGGATAGAAGGAAGCGAGAAACAGAGGAAGAGACGGCTGCAGCACTGCCTGGGCTCCTGAGAGCTGCCTGAGAGCTGCACTGCGGAGCGGGTGGGGGAAGGGGGAGAGCGAGCAACAGATGGAGGAAGAAAAGAAGGTTGGTGAGGAGCAGCATAAGATGGAAGGGGCTTGGGGCGGAACAAGCGGCCTTGCAGCACTGCCTGGGCTTCTGAAAGCTGCCTGCGGTGCGTGGCCTGGGGAGCAGGTGGGGAGGAGGGGGAGAAGGTGAGGGAGTAGGGGGGGGGAGAAACGGATGGGGAAAGAGAGGGCTGGTGAGGAGAAGAGGAGGTGGAGTGGGCTGAGGGTGGAACAGGAGGCACTGCAGCACTGCGTGGGCTTCTGAAAGCTGTCTGCGGCGCGTGGCCTGGTAGCAGGTGGGAGGGGAGGAAGAAAGAAGAGGAGCGAGGCACACACACAGCGTGCACTGCACAACACAAAGCATTGTGCTTTTCATACCGTTGCGCCTTGCATATCAATGCATTGCAGTCGAAAGCGTGAATACTTCCTCTCAAGGCCCTTGTCCTCCTCCTCACACTGAGTGCACACAGACAAAATGCTGCAGGCACAGGTGGGGTGATGGGCTCAACTCCATTGCACATCAAGCATGCACCTCCACATATCATATATCACCCACTGTCATCCAAACGCCCTTTACACTCTCATTCACACTCTCTCGTCCATACCGCATTGCAACCCTCCTCACCGCACTGGACTCCAGGCCTCTCAAGGTGTGTGTGAGCAGCAAAGCCTCCTGCCGCAGTGCTGCCAGCCTAGCCTCTGCGTTAACAGGCATCTGCCCCACCAGCTGCTGCCGCTGCTGCACCACGTGCCGTGGCTCCCACACTTGTTGAGGGGCGTTTCCTGCTGCTCTGTAAGGGAAGCGAGGAGAGAGGGTGAGGGGAGTAAATGAAGTGCTGTGAGTTTCGCTGTTGCATTCACAGGGGTCTGCCCCACCAGCTGCTGCCACTGCTGCACCACGTGCCTCGGCTCCCAAACTTGTTGAGGGGCGTTCCCTGCTGCCCTGCAAGGAAAGGGAGTGCGTGGGTGGGTAGGAGAAAATGAAGTGCTGCCAGCCTGCCCGTTGCGTTGACTGGCGTCTGCCCCACTAGCTGCTGCCGCTGCTGCACGACGTGCCGTGGATTCCACACCTCCTGAGGGGCGTTCCTGGTGCCCTGTGGGGGGAAAGAGGGGGTGGGTGGATGCAAGTCAATAAGCGTTGAGACAGCACGAGCTGGCTCCCACACTTGCTCCAGATTGGAGCATTTCCGGCTGCGCAGAAAGGGAAGGACGGAGAGCGTGGGTGGAAAGGAACGGGATCAAAGCCGCTGCTGCACCATGTGCCTCGGCTCCCACACCTCCTGAGCATTCGCTGCAGCTCTGTGGGGGAAGGGAGAGTGTGAGTGGACGGAAATCATGGGAGCAGAGGGAGGAGGAGGAGGAGAGGAGGAGGAGGAGGAGGAGGAGGAGGAGGAGGAGGAGGAGGAGGAGGAGGAGGAGGAGGAGGAGGAGGAGGAGGGCGACGGTGGCGACGACCACGAACACTGGCAGCGGCAAGAAAGCAGTACCCGCCTTTGCATGCTGTCTGCTGCAGCTTCAGCAGTACTTGCCCCTGCAAACGCACTACAAACGTTCTCACACTCTCCCTTCCTCACACTACCTCACTTTCACTCCCTCACACCCCATCCATCCGCATGGCAGTCACACTCCCACTCACCCCACTTACAAGATCCGTTTTTAGTCTCCTCGTCTCCTACACACTCCCAGCCAGAGCCGCTCTCACCTGCTCCTTCGCCCCTGTGCAGTAGTGCCCCCCTGTGCAGTAGTGCCCCCCTGTGCAGTGCACACTGCATACCCCATGCATGCACTACAGGAAAACACCCTAACAAACCTTCTCACACTCACACTCTCTCACTTCCACACCCTGACACCCCATCCATCCAACCGCATGTCACTGATACTCCCCCCACTCACATGATCCGCTCAAGCCTCTTAGCTTCCCCCACGCTCCCTGCCAGCGCAGCTCTCACCCGTTGCCTCACAACCTGTCAAACACGCCACACTCCCCCCCCTCCCACTCACATGATCCGCTCAAGCCTTTTTGCTTCCTGTACACTCCCCGCCAGTGTAGCTCGCACCCGCGCCCGCTCCTCCTCGCCCTCGCGAATGCGCCTCTCCAGCTCTGCCACGTGGCTCTGCTGCCGCATCACCTCCCTGCGATGCGCCTGCACCAGTCGCTGCTTCTCCTTCTCGAATCTTGAAACAGGGAAAGTGGGGGAAGAGGCCGAGAGCCGAAATCAGCAAGCAGTATTGAGATTTCAAATTGCTTCGCACCAGTCTCAACTCGTGACGAAGCAAGCCTCGGGACCGACACGCACCTATCCTGAAACCGTCGCTTCCACGAAGCTTTACTCGCAGCATCCCCATCTCCAGAAACCATCGCTTTCGACCCTCCCGTTTCCGATCCCTGGACGTTCCTCCTCGCGCCTCCACAACGACTTCCCTCATCTCGAGATCTCATCCCGCCTGCCGATAATTCCCTGCCATCTGCTGGTTTCCGCTTGCTCCCTACAGATTGTACAGACCATACACCCACGCCGACCAACCCTTCACCTACGCATGCTACCGATTGCTCCCGCGCGCCTTGTGCGGCGCTCTCTGCACGGGCATAGCTGGGCCCAGAGACTGCTTCACGTGCTGATTTTGACGGCTTCCCCGTGGAATCCGAGCCGCTCCAGTATTTATTCCACGCGGATTCCCACAAAGCATCGCACGAACCGAGTCGCCGCAATCGGCGGCAGACTAAAGCTACGCAGCAGAGGTCGCGATAGCCGAGATTCCTCGCGACGCCGAGGCGGAGAACTGTGAGCCAAAGATCGTCGGGTAGCGTGCTCACGGCTGACGTCATGGTGACAGCTGATGCAAAGGCAGCGCGAATCGCGGTGAGCTGAGTTAGGTTCCTTGGTGTGCCTTGCAGGCTGAGAAAAGCTGGCGTGACTTCCCGTGCACAGTTCGTTGGTAAACAAAATACACTTCACGGGAGGGCAGATTGCACAACCAGCATGGCACAATAAAAGGAGAGTACAATATCGAGGAACTGTGGCCTGGGAGGGGCGCTTGTCTTGCCATTGGTTGGCTGCACGATGTGCTTTGGTGGACCAAAACTCCAACCAAGGGCAACTTCGCGACTCGGATTGCACGTTTCAATGCGCGGCGCGGTCTCAACACCCCAAAAAGCCTCACAGCAGCATTGTTGCGTGCGTGCTTGGTCCTCACAAACAATTTGTCACGCCCCCCCCCCCTGCTTTCCCATCCCACCACCCTCATCTCAACCCACCCAGTCCCTCCCGTGTAAGGCAAAGAACCCTGACAACGTGTCCCCTGGCTGCTTTGCCCAACCTTTGCTTGTGAGCTTTTACGGTGTGACAGCTTCCTTCCATTCCCCTAGTTTATGAGACCAGCTGGTATCGTACACGAAAGTATGCCGCAAGGCCTCACATGTCAAGGCCCATACGATAGGTTTATGTCCCGCCGTGTAACGTTCAAGGAAAAAGTAGATTTCTCTCTCCTGTAGTGTTTTCGTCGTAAATAGGTTCATCCGCTTCTATTTCCAATACGACTCGGAACCCGCCTGATTTATCAGTCCCTTTGAGCTGTCAAACAGCTTCCCCCCCCTCTATTGAGCCCACCATGGCGGTGGGCTACCACCCGCGCATGGAAGCCCCCTCCGCTATTCCGCGGCCCAGCGGAATACCTCCTTTACGGCACGCGAGCGCCGGCGCCGTCACGGCTGCCGGCCAACGGCACCGTCACGATGTTGGAGCCGACGATTTGATGGCAGGGACAGGCATTCCTTTGCCGGGAGACCCGGGACCGTTTTACTTGGGCGAGTGGCGGAAGAGCTCCGAGGCGCATCAGCACGCTGTGGGCGCGGGGGAGGCGCAAAAGGCATGGGTGGATCAGAAGGCGGCGGAGGCGCAACAGGCATGGGAGGCGGAAAAGGCATGGGAGGCGGAAAAGGAGGAGGAGGCACAAAGGGCGATGGAGGCGCAAAAGGCGGCGGAGGCGCAAATGGCGGCGGAGGCGCAAAAGGCGCGGGAGCTGCAGCGGAGGATAAAGGAGCTGGAGCGAGCCAGCCGCGAGCAGGAGAAGGAACTCGCGTCGCTAAGATCCCAGGTGCGTTTGGTGTGAGACTTATGAGTCGACTCAAAAGAGATTCAAGGTGCGTTTCCCGTGGCTCGCGTTCTCGCAGAACGGTTACACCCAGGTTGCCCTGAAATAATGTTCAGGAATAGCCTCAAGATGACGCACTGGAAATGTCGTATGCACAGGAGGGAGGGGAAGGGTATGAAACGGCGCGAATGCTCAGCGGCTCTACGCGGCATGCGGTGCAGCGCTGCTCGTGTATCTCTCCCAACGCATGAGTGCGACTCTACTCATCAGTGTCGTAAATGCTTTCGTGCTTTTTTTTTCGTCCCCCCCTTTCCACCCGCGCGGCGCCTTTCGAACAGAAAATTGCAGCAGAGCAGAGCCTGCGACGGGAAAAGGAAGCTTCCGCGTTGCTGCAACAGATGCTCCAGCAGGAGCGGGAGGCGAAGGCGGTGATGCTCGCGGCGCGCGAGGACGAGGCCGCCGAGATCGACGGCGAGAAACGCGCTTTGATCGCGCGGAGCAGGCAGCTGGCGGCGCGGGTGGAGAGAGCGGAGGAGCGACTGGAGGGGCTGGAGCAAGAGAAGGAGGCCGTCATACTCGATCGCGACGCGATTGCTATGGAATCGGAGTAAGTCAGCAGTCACTCCCTAATGGGTGTTGAAGTCTGCTTTTGAGTCGACTCAAAAGCGAGCGGAGGAGCGATTGGAGGGGCTGGAGCAGGAGAAGGAGGCCATCATACTCGATCGCGACGCGATTCCCATGGTATCGGAGTAAGTCAGTAGTCACGACCGATCCTAGTAGGTGTTAGAGATGCCCCTCCCCCTCACTCCCCCCCCCCACTCCCCAATCCCCGAGATGTTCCCTTCCCTCCCCCCCACCATTCCCCCCACCCGTCTCCCCCGTCTTTCCCCACTCCTACCCACCCTCCCAGACGAACATTGAGTGTGTGGGGGTTATGGGTTCTGCCTGGGAAACGCAGAGCAGTGAGTTAAGGCGTCCTGGTGACTATGGAAAGCGAAAGTGTGGGAAGTTTGAGTTCTTCATAAGCCCATTATCTAGCTCGCTATTATCACTTACCTTTTCCGTCGTGGCTGTGCTTTCCCTTTTTCGTGGCAGGGTGTTGGTGGAGCGACTCTTGGAGGTGGAACAGACGGTGGAGATGCTTCGGCAGGAGAACGTGAATCTCGAGGCGGAGCTGTTGGCCGCACAGCGATCGCGAGATACGTACTGGACGCACAGTATTGCACTGTACCAGGATAAAGCAAAGTAAGATTGTTTTACTGTATACTAAAAATCAAGGATGTCAATGTTGGTGCATCACTGATAACAAATTTGCTTTTATTTGGTGCACTATTCTTGGCAGGCTGGAAGAGCAGTTAGCACAACTGAGCAGCATCAGCAGTAACCTGGCAGGAGGCAGGACCAAGGCTGCAGCTACTTTGGGCAAGAAAACCCAGACCCCCACCAGAGCCGGAGCAGGCGGCGCAGCAGCAGCGGGTGGCGCCCGCCGAAACTCCCTCCCATTCCCTAACCCACGCTCTTCAGCATCTCCTCTCACTTCCCTAGAGACCTTCACCTCCCCATTTGCACTCCACCCCACCGCTCTCAACTCCGCCCCACAGCTGCTGAAACAGCAGCTCACGTTCGGCACGGTGTACGAGTGCCCGCCGCTGCTCGCGTCAGCGTCCATGTCAGCATCCACGTCAGCAGCGATAGGCATGACACAGCACGGTGGGCTTGACATGGTGCGAGCAGCCAGCATCGCCAGTGGGGCCCCTTCTACTGCCAATGCTGCTGCTAGTGGTGGTGCAATCAGTGCAGCAGGGGGGTTTGACTCAGCCGGCATGCGCAGGAGTGGGAGCTTTACAGCATACCAGGCCCCAGCTTCCACTCTCCTCACACGCAGCCTCTCAAGCAACACGGCAGAGCACAGGGCACGGCAGGCCAGCATGGCAGCAGCTGGTGGTGGTGGCAGAGGTGAGATATTGAATGGAGCTGCAGGGCTGGCTGCGGTGCATGAGGGCCCTGAATGAACCGGTTCGCTCTGACTGGCCCTCAACGGCCCTGACTCAACAAATACTGATGAATAATAAAAGGCACTGGGTTTGTAGGATTGTTCATGTTCCATTGGAAAATAACTTGTGGGTGTCAAAGCAAGTGGAGCACAGTAAGAAATCCTATGGGAGACAGTAAGCACAGCACAGTGCATGCCTATGACAGCGGGGCTGTCTCTAACGTGTGGCGTGCAATTTCATAGGTGCCACGGGTCTTTTTGCTTCAGAATACCGTGGTGCTCTTGGTGGGAGTTTATAATAGCAATGCACATGTGCTGTGCTGGCCTTGAACGAGAAGGTTGTTCGAGCTCTTACCTTGTTGGAGTGTCTCTGTTGATTCCGTAGCTGGAATGAAAAACTTTTTAACCTCGGTAAGAGCTCACTGGTGTCAAGCTTCTTACAATGAATAGGGTAAAAGGTTGTTCTCCTCCATACCTGGGCTATTTTGGTAGGCAGGTGGCTCACTGTCAAATGTTATTATTTGTATAGTCTCTAGTGAGGTGCTCTCTAGTGAGTACAATGCAATTAGGTTGGAGTGCTTGTACTGCCTTGCCTCTCTACTCTCGACATTCCGTTGCTCTCTATTTCTAAGATGGTATCATAAGTAGGTTTAGTATCCTAGCCTAGCTCGCACACTAGCGCCCTCCACGCTCTTGCATTTCGTCGCGCCCTCCGCACCCTCTGAAACGCGCCCTCCGCGCCCTCCAAAACGAGCCCTCCGCGCCCTCCGCCTTAGCTCGTCGCGGAGCCCTGCCAGGCCAGCCCGTAGTGGGCGCCCTAGGCCAGCCCGTCGTGCGCGACCCCTCCCTCCGCGCCTAGCCCTCCGCGCCTTCCACGCCCTCCGCCCCATACGCGCCCTCTGCGCCAGACGCGCCTTGCCCGCGGCCCCCGCCCATTCACGCGCCCTCCGCTTAGCCCGCGCCCTGCCCTTAGCCCGCGCCCTGCCCTTAGCCCACGCCCTGCCCTTAGCCCGTGCCTCCCCTTTGACCCGTACACTCCCACTCACACTTGGCACTCGACCCTTTTCCCATCATCACCCTGTTCGATGAGCCCTATCCATTCCTACTACCATTCATCTCTAGTTCAGCGGCTGGCAGCCGCTTCTCTCGCCGGTCGCCTAGGCTAGAGCCGTGTAGCTACTAGCTCCTCGCCTCTAGCGCCCATATCTAGAGTTCCTCTCCGTTTCTCGCCTAGCCTAGGTCGCTCCGTGCTCCTAGCCACTAGCTGCGTCGGTCTCTTGCCTCGCCACACCTGGCGCTCCTTGATTTCCCTCCTCGTTCGTAGCTCCAACTCCTCCGTGCTCCAGCCGCCTCTAGCCTAGCCTCCAGTATGGAGTCCCGCCGCCTTCGGTTCTATGCGGAGGGACTCTCGATCGAGTTCAGTACCTGGCAGCGCCAGGCCATGCGCTACCTCACCAGTCAGCGTCAGGACGGCGCCATCTTGTGGGCCCACGCGTCTGGTGCCCTCAAGGCGCCCCTGTCCCCCTATCCCCTCCCGACCGACCCGGGGCCGACTCCTGCGGAGCAGGCGGACTACGACCGTCGTGTCTTGGCAAGGGACGTGTGAGACTCTCGCGACGCTGCCGCTGCTCTTGCGCTGACGGAGCTCCTTCCACCGACTGAGGCCGTCCACTTTGCCCAGGTGGAGACTGCGAAGGGGTTTTGGGATGCTGTTGTTGTGCGCTATTCCACCCCTTCCTCTGCCTCCCTCAGTCGCCTCCTCATGCCGTTCGTGTTCCCCGACCTTGGCTTGTTTGCGACTGTGTCCGACCTCGTAATTCACCTGCGTTCCCTTGACGCCAGTTTCCATGCGGCCTGCACCGATGCACAGCTTCTTGTTGCCCCCCACCCATGTGGCTCACTGTGCACTGGTTAGTCACACGCCTCCCTGACTGCCTCGCTACAGCCCGCGACGCGCTTCTCCTGAAGCACCCCACTGAGCTTACTATCGATCTTCTTGAGACCGCTCTCGGGAAGATTGAGAGTAACCTCCTCTCCGTTTCCTCCGCCACTGACGCAGAGCCCCCCCCGTCTCTTTGCGGGGTGTGCCGCCCCTCAGCTTCCCACTTTCACTGCTACCCGCGTTTCTTCTGCTGTGTCGGTTTCTGAGGACATGGCCGCCGTCTCTGCCGCTGACTGGCAGAAACTGGGCAAGTGTGGCAAGAAGGGCAGGAAGGGAGGTGGAGGAGGCGGTGGAGGTGGTGGCGGTGGACCTGGGAGCGGTGGTGGTGGTGGCGGCGGCAGCGGCGGCGGTGGTGCACCAGGAGGGAGCCTTGGAGGAGGTGCAGGACAGACAGGCCCCCCTACTGGCGGTGTTCCGCCCGGTGGGGGAGTCGGACCTCAGCAGCAGCAGCCACAGCAGCACCAGCCGCAGCAGCGGCAGCAGCAGCAGCAGCAGCAGGGACAGCAGCAGGAGCAGGCACCGCAACAGTTCCAGCCTTGGGGGCCCCCACTGCAGTGGGGTCCGCAGCAGCACTGGGGTCCCCCGCCGCAGTGGGGTCCGGGAGGACTAGGGAGCACCGGCCGCAGCAGCAGCGGTTCCAGCTGGGCCCCTCGCCCCCCTCGCCGTGACACCGGCCCCTGTGACTACTGGTGCCTCACCGGACCGGGCAGCCCCTGCGTCTGCGGCCGCGACGACCACTCTGCCGCGCGGTGCTTCCGCCGCCTCGACGACCTCTACCGTGCCCGCTGGGGCCCTGGGGCACCCACTCCGCGCTGGGCTCGCCTGTTAGCCCGTAAGATTCCTGTTTTTACTCTGTCTATGGATGATGCTCGTCAGTATGCTTTGTATGCTGATGTTGACTATAGTGCTGATGAATCTGTGTGTTCGCGTGTTCGTAGATTAGCTTGCTTGCCTCCTGCTAGTGTAGACTTGTGCCTCCCTAGCCTAGGTGCTTGTGTTTCAACTCTAGGTGCTTGTGTAGCCTCCGCACCAGGTTCGCCACAGGCAGTGGCGTCCTTGTCGTTCACGCTGGACCCTGGCGCGTCACAGTGCTTCTTCCGCGACCACACAACACTCACACCGCTCCTTGCTCCGGTACCGGTAGCCCTGGCTGATCCTTCCTTAGAACCAGCCGTGGCACGCAGCTCTACCACCCTCCCGTGCCCTGTGGTCCCCTCTGGTGTCTTGCGCGGCCTCCACATCCCTTCATTCACTCGGAACTTGGTGGGTGTTGGATACCTCCGGGTGGGCGGACTGCAGTCTGTACGGACGCTGTCACTGGCAGATTTTTGGCCACATTCGCCAGGGAGAAGCGCTCCGGTCTCTACGTCCTCCACACCGAGCACTCCTTAGTTTCCACGTCCACTCAGGTCACTGCTTCCCCCCAGGTTCCTGTGTCTCCACCAGTTACCAAGTTCGGTCAGGTAGCTGCTTCTCCTCCTGTTGTCGCGTCTGGTCAGGTCGCTGCGTCTTGCTCGTGTTGGTCTTTCAACCACCATACGGTCTTGTGGCACCACCGTCTTGGCCACCCGTCGATCCCCCGCCTCCGCACTATGGCTAGTCACCGTCTTGTCACAGGTCTCCCTAGAGTCTTCCCGTCGCTCCCTCCCTCGCCTGCACCGCCGTGCACTCCTTGTGTCACCGGCCGCCTTCGTGCCACTCCCCACTCCTCCTCCCTTCGTCCGGCCACTGCTCCCTTCCAGACGCTCCACTTGGACGTCTGGGGCCCTGCACCTACGCAGGGACCTGAGAGGGAGCGCTACTTTCTGGTGGTCGTCGACGACTTCTCCAGGTACACCACGGTGTTTCCTCTCGCGAAGAAGTCCGAGGTGACTTCTACGCTGATCCGGTGGCTTCTAGCCACTGAGGGCACTCGTGGTCGTTGTGTCTCCTGTCTTCACTCCGACCGTGGTTGTGAGTTTCGCTCAGGCATTCTTGCCGGATTCTGCGGCGAACAGGGCATCGTACAGTCCTGGACGCTGCCGGAGTCCCCACAGCAGAATGGGGTTGCTGAGCGCCACATTGGCTTGGTCATGGACATCGCCCGCATGTCCATGATTCATGCCCGTGCGCCCCATTTTCTGTGGCCCTACGCAGTTCGCTACGCTGCGCACTAGCTGAACCTCCAGCCGCGCGTCTCTCGGCCGGAGGCTTCACCGACCAGTCTTTGGACCGGGTCCCCTGATGTTGGGTCGGCCTTTTGAGTCTGGGGCTGCCTTGCGCAAGTCCGCGATACCTCTGCGGACAAGCTCTCAGCACGCGCCATCCCCTGTGTCTTCCTTGGTTTCCCGGTAGACTCGGCCGACTGGTCCTTCTACCACCCGCCCCTCCACCAGTTCCTAGACTCCCGTGACATCCGGTTCCACGAGTCCGTGTCCTACTACGCTCGCTACCCCTGTAGAGGTCTCCTGGTTCCCCCTCCCCCCCTCTTCCTCGCACCCTCTCTCCCCCGTGCTCCCGCTCTTCCGGTACCCCCACCCCCTCTGGTCCTGCCCCGTCAGGTGTGTCTCACGCTACCCCTCTACCCTCGGTCGCGCGTCAGGTAGCGTCTCCCTCCCCGCAGTCCTCCGCACAGTCCCCTCAGTGGACTGGTGTTGGAGACAGGTTCCTGTGGACTTGGTTGGTGTTGGAGCTGGAGGTGAGGCCACTGGAGGTGGTCGGTCTGGGGGTGCTCAGTCGAGGAGTGCTGGAGCTGGAGGTGCTGGCACTGGAGGTGCTAGTTCTGGGGGTGCTGGAGCTGGGGGTCCTGGCCATGGGGGTGCTCGGGCAGGGGGTGCTGGGGCTGGGGACTCTGACCCTGGGCTAGTTTTGAGGAGACTGGAGCTGGGGGCACTACGTCTGCGGAGCGCACTCCGCCTCCCCAACCACCACAGCCGCCGCCGTCCCCGCAGCCGCAGCAGCTTCCCCTGGAGGGGCAGTTGTTCCCGCCCGTGAGTGGCCTCCGGACCCTTACATGTCAGTAAGGCTAATTTTATACTTATGCAATTCGCTGACAACAGGACCATGATTGTGAGAGTACGACGGCTTATGCCAGCCAT